TTGCATTAATATTTTAATTCAAAATTGCCAAAATTATAAATTTTCTAATTTATCTATTGATTTGTGGTTAATATTGGTTCTCACAGTTACCACAAACTAATTAGTTCTCATTTGATTAGTTCCCTATATATAAATAATATATATATATATATACATACTGGTAGGAACACCACCACACCACTCCATCTCAAATGGAGGCGACGCCATTGCAGGACTTACACCTTCACAATCTCCGAGCCATTAAAGTTCTCGGAAATGGAGCCATGGGTACTGTCTTCCTCGTTCACAATCTCATCTCCAATCCATCTGCTCGCTCTCCCTTTGCCCTCAAAGTCGTCGAGAAATCATGCCTCCAGTCTGACCGCCGTGCCCTGTGGGAAATCTCCGTCCTCAACCGCCTCAATCACAAACCCCACCCCTTCCTCCCCTTCTTGATCGGATTTTTGGAGACCCATGAATTCCTCGCATGGGCCATTCCGTTTTGCCCTGGCCGTGATCTTAACGTCCTCCGTAACCGTCAGACGGATCACGTCTTCTCCGCCTCCGCCATCCGGTTTTACCTGGCGGAAATCATCTGCGCGTTACAACACCTTCATACCATGGGCATCGTGTATCGCGACTTGAAACCTGAAAACGTTTTGATCCAACAATCAGGTCACGTGACTCTCACAGACTTCGACCTCTCACGTACCCTCACAGCGAAATCTTTGCAGTCATTGTTGATTCTATCGCCGGAGGAGCCCAAGAAACACAAGCGGAACCTCGGTCGTTTGTTCTGGGTGGTGGTTTCCGACCAGAACCGTGCCGGGATAACGAAAACCAAGAGCGCACGTGTCTCTCCGGTGACACGTCGCAAAACGAGTTTCGCCGACGGTGAACGTTCGAATTCATTCGTCGGCACGGAGGAGTACTTATCACCTGAGATGGTCCGAGGCGACGGCCACGAATTCGCCATCGATTGGTGGGCGTTGGGGATCCTCGCCTACGAAATGTTGTACGGATCAACCCCTTTTCGCGGGAAGAACAGAAAGGATACGTTTGAGAGAATACTAATGATGCAGCCAAAGTTCACCGGAAAACCAACGCCCTTGACGGACCTGATCAGCAAGCTATTAGAAAAACAACCCACGCGCCGTTTGGGGTACCGATTAGGCGCGTCTGAGGTCAAGGAGCATCCATTCTTCCTTGGGTTACGATGGGAGCTACTAACAGGAGTAGTACGTACTCCATTTATACCGTCAGTCGAGTTAACGACAAAAACAAACGGCATCAATATAAAAGAGTACCTTCAAAAGCAAAGGGAACCGCCATCACCGTTAGATTCTCCGTCATGTAGCATTTCATTAACGGAATTTTAATACACAAACAGGGTGTACATATAAGATGTAACGCCAGCATAAGAGATAGGAGTTTGGATACTTTGGAATTTGGATTACAGAAATTGACCAAAATAACCGGTTTTTTAACTTAACATATTTTTTAGCCACTTTTTTAATTGAATTCTTCTTTCGGTCGGAGTTCATGTAAATATCTTATATATTTGTGTAAACTCGAATCCCACTTTACCCACTTTTTTTAATCTGAAAATAGGATTTATGCAAATGCATGAGACACTTACGTAAACTCTGGTTAAAATGCGCGTTCAATTCCAAAAATAGCTAAAAAAGTGACTTTGGTTGGGGAGTTTTTGGGCATTTTAGTCAATTTCCCCTTGGATTATGGATGGAAAGAGGGATAGGCGGAAGATGCACCTTTCGTGCCTGATCTTGGTTTCAGTTTATGCCTTCTTTCACTATCACATTACATTTAGTCCTTGGCGAGTTCGAAAGAAAGGAATCTTTGCTGAGTATAGAGAATCTGTTGAATGCCGTTTATAAGTTCTAACACAAAAAACAGGGCATACAAATGAGATGTAATAGTAGTCTTACATAATTACAGAAAGCGTTAAGCCTTGTTTAAACATAATGATCTTAAACAACTTTTCACTTGAGATCATAATTAAGCATCTTATATTTAGGGTAAGGAAAATAAGTCAAAATTGTTTACCTAATTATAAGCCTTTTGAGAGATCAAACAAAGATGGTTAAATTTTGCTACACTTTTGTCCCCCCAAATGCCCAACCATGGCTCCCATCCACTATCAATCTAAAATCATATCCCCACAATCATGGTTATATCTACACCACCACGTGTGTCATATGGTGAGGACGGTATCTAAGATGGTAAGTGGGTTGTTTTTTTAATAACTTAATGATCAGGTTAAATTTTAATTACATCTCGTGACGGATCCAAGGATTTAAGTAATGGAAGACACATCTTATATGGTGACAAGTAGCAGATGAATAAAGTGCTTGGATTATATATAATCGGCTACTCGTCTTGATTTTTACTTCTTGCTTGTTTTCTCAGAATTCGTAAAAGAGAAAAACACACGACATATACGAAATTCAATGATACTCGTATACGATTTCAGTGAAGTCAAAGAAAGACCACGTGGTGAATATGAATATGGTAAACAAATGTAGAATAACAATTATTGAAAAAATTCAGTGAATCTTCCCCAAGAACATCTTGATCTGATATTTCCTTTTTTTTTCTTTTTTTCTTGGAGTTTCATTAACAACGAAATGGTTCAAGAAACAAAAACTTATGTGTTGGCACTGTTTTGGATGCCAAGATTGTAAGTTAAAGTTATCCATTTTCATTTGTTATGTCTGGTTTTTTATTTGTATTTTGTTGCTTAGTTGGTATTTGGTAAATTGGTACATGTTTACTTGGATCATCCAATTTATAGATACTGGGCCGTTAATATTCTAGCCCATATATTTGGATTTGGGAATTGGGAGCAACAAATTTTGAATTTGAATTTTATATTACTAGAAGCGTACTCGCGCAATGCAGCGAGATACATCGTGTTTTTAATATTTCATTTTATTCTTTATCTCAATCGATGTTATAATATGGCTTTATGTGATTTT